GTGCCTTGCCACTGTGTCTGCGTCCAACCCTCAGTCCGAGTCCGTCGTGTCGAGTGAGTGAGTGTGTGTGTGTGCTCTCACTCTCTCCCTCTCTCTCTCCTCTCCCTCGGCTCACCCTCAGCCTCACTCCCGTTACAATTTCGGTGTTGCGCTACTAACTGGGTGTAGGGTAGAGAGTGGAGTGTGGGGTTCTGAAAGTGGCGAGATACTGGAACAAACTCTGTAACGATATTGGGTTTTAATTGGCTCATCATCAGTGTGATTCCGATTGTTATCCTCACAGGTTTCTTCTTGTCATTGGTTGTTGGGAGTCTGTCAAAGAGTGAGAAACCCAGGGTGTCTTCTCCCCATCTGTGCATGGTTGAACTTTCGCTGTCTACTCTGATCTGATCTGTGTACAGTTTGGACTTTGTCTCCTCTCCCCCTTCGCTTATGCATGTATGGGCGTGTATGAGACTGTCTGTGTGTGAGTGGCGGTAAAAATCGTCAGACAACCAAGTTCATAACAGCCCGTACAGGCTCTAGACTCAGACTGGATGGACTGGTACTGGCCTAGACCTAGCCTACCGCTACTGGGCCTCTAAAAATGCCAACTTTGTCTTCTTCTGCTCGGCCTCGAGTACCCGGAACATCTACTGCTACTGGGTGCGGTACTGGCCTACCTGCTACTTGAGTGTTTTTCCGCTGCTCTAAGTGCCGCGGGCCTCTGGCTCCGCCACTTGAGTGTTTTCCCCTGCTGCAACCCTCAATGCCACGGCCACAGGTAAGTACCGGCCCTACGGGCCTGCCAAACACGCAAGTACCCTTGCGGGTCACACACACACTCATGCCGACAAGCACTCAGACAGGCACACAAGTCAACAGGCACACACACATACAGACTAAGAAAACACAGCAGAATGCGGGAATCCCAGCAAGGAATCCATTCCATCGACAGAACTTCAGAAATCAGCAGTGTTCTCAGTCTGTGTTATGGCGGGTCATTACAGTTTGGGTCTTTTCACGTTTTCGTTGGCTGGGGAAACTCTGCCCGTCCGTTGTTGGAGCGCGGCTGCTCTACTTTGGGCGAGGTCATCTTCTTCCTCGAAGCCCAGCTATAGCATGAGAGCTTCCACAGGACTGTGTTGTTGGGTTTGGGTCCATCTTCCACTTGGCAGCAATATCTGCTGTTCCTCCTCTTGAGGAACTTTGTCTTCTTCGAAGTGCTGGATCGGTTGTCTCCTTCTTCATCAGGACTTCCAGCGCTGCATTTCCGTGCGGGTGCTGAGCCGGCGCTGTTATCATCAGGGTTGCTGGTTCAGATTGGCACGTTGTGACAGCTGTGGGGTTACTGCTGCTACGACAGCCATAGCCAGGGATATGAGGTGGCGAGGAGGAAGAAGACTCCTGCATACTTCGTTGAACACTTGTTTCTGGTTGTTCGGGGTTGTTGTAAACGCGGTTGTGATTCTTGGAACAAGTACTCTGGATTGATTGGAGGAGGACGAGGGATTGCAAAATTGAAATTCGTTTTTCAATTCTCTGTGTAGTTTGAGCTTCCGCTGTGCATATCTTCTCTCTGGTTTTGTGTGGATTTGCCTCCTTTTGAGTCTACTCTGCAATTGCATGTGTATGGGAACGTGTGAATTCGTTGTGGATTGAAGCTCAATCGGGTACATAACAAAATGCCCTGTGCTGTCTTCTGAAAAACAAAATAGAGGGAAAGAAAAATCAGGAAACAGAGAAGATTAGCATGACCCCTACGCAAGGATGTCATGCATAAATCGAGAAACGATCCAAATTATTTAAAAAATAAAAAAATTCAAAAAAAACAAGGAGATGGGGCTGGACCGTCAACAGTTAGAATTTACCTCCATGTTTAGGTCAATGGGGCCAGAATAGGCAGGGGTGAGGGTTGGTATATTCTTCCTACAGGAAGTAGTCAATGCCATCCACTCGGGCCTTCCAACCATAATGGGGAGGAGCGTTGGGTGAGTGCAAAGTGTATTCGTTTTCACTTACCGGTGGAAAAGGAACCCGACTGTCACTCCGCACAATGGACACGGAGCCCGAACCGTAAGGTTCTGTTTTTCAAAAAAAAAAAAAAAAAAAAAAAGGCTTGTGCAAGAATATCCTTTCATGGCCCATGGAGTACCCTTCACCCTTTCCACCCAGGGTGGGTAACAGAGGAGTGGATGGAGGAGGGGAAAGAGTTGGGGGAAAGGGGTGGGGCAGGGGTGGGGCAGGGGTGGGCAGGGGAGGTAAGACTGTGGAGACCTGATGCTTTCTCATGTAGCGCAGAGCTTGCAAAAGTTCACCATGCCTGAGGAGCCCTTTGATGTATTCCTTGTGTGCATTGAGATGCCTAAGCATCTCCAAGCCGAGTTTGCGGAGGACAGGGTGTGATCTGCTGCTGTCTACCTCCAAACCATCTGTCCCAAGAATCTGCAGTGCAAGAGCAATTGAAGGCTCCAGAACCTGCACAGACAGTTCAGACAAGTGCAAGCCAGAGTTAACGCCACATGCACAAGGTTGAAACACCACTACCTTTCACAGACAAACTTTTGCGAGAAAGTTGTTTACTTCCACATTCTTCGGGGGCTTGGCCTCCCAGAGACCTCTTTGGCTGGCGACGCCAGCCAAAAAAAAACAAACCGAGCACTGGTTGGTTCGTTTCACACTTGGTGCGCAGCACAAATCTGCCACAGGAAACAGAGGCGTGGAGGCAGTGGTGGTTGATGACAAACAAGTGGACCAGGTGTGGCTACGCACCTTGTGCACAGTGCGGGCCAGAGGGAAAGAGCTGAAGAGTTCATGACTGGAGTGATGGAACCCGAACATGAGATATGAACATGTCACTCTGTGTCTCTTTCTCTTGGTACTATGTTACATACTCCCATGAGTATGGGCAGAACCAAGAATCAACCAATATAGGATGAGTTTTTTTATGCAGTGGAAGGCTTATAACGAACTGACTCACATAGACTGACCTACATGGCATCACTCCACACACATACAATCATGAGATGGTGGGGTCTGGGTCATGCATAGAAGAATACCCAGATCCCATACACACATCCACAGATGAAAGGTGGGAGGAGAGACGAAGGAGGTAGAAGGTAGATCACACCGATAGATCACAAAATAGGGTCCGGTAGGTCTCCGAAGTAGTAGTCCAAAATGTCATACAACAAGATCAAAATGTCGAAGACCAAAGGTCGCCAATGTCGGAGATAACCAAGTCCAGATGTAACCGGTGTCCAACTGTGATGCAGCCGAGTATCAACCTCAACAATCTCCAAGTCTCCAATCAGGTAAGTACCACAGTC